TCACCCCCACAGCCAGACCACTCTCAGATTCCAAACCGGTTTGTCCCAGCACCCACCGTGCGGCGGGCGGCTGCACCAACAAGATGCGATGCTGGGTTTGCACACACCAGCACAGCGGAGGTCAGCCGTGCCGGTCTGACGATAGCGAAAATTGACCATTCTGGACGCCGCTCGACGGCTGCTATCGTGACGTCATACACTCGCTGCATAATCGCGATGCGTTTGACGTCATTCGCCTACGTTACTGTGCACTGCGCAGTGCGCAGCTAGGATATGGTAAATACGGGGTTGCCGTATTAGAGACCCAAGAGGATGAGGTGTGACAAGAAAAATATGAATTGCTTAACCAATTTTTACATGCCAAGCATGTTAAGTTATTTATGTAGGTTAGGTGTTCTTAAGCTAATTGGCAGTTCACATGTTGCCGATTGCGGGTTCATGAAGCAGATAAATCTAATAAATATAAATATGCAAAAATGATCAATAACATGGCAGAAATGTAAGACTTTTATTGTAAAATAGGCCAAATATGAGAATGAGCTTTCGCTTTACAGCATCATCAGATTTTTATATCTGTTCATCTGAGGGGCGTCGCCACGGATTTTTGACTGGGGGGACGGATTGGCTGACTAAAACCCAAAATTTAGTTAGTTTACCGTACCATTTCAGGCCTATGTACTACTTGTAACGCATACACAATACACATGTTCTCATGTTCTCACGTGGAGGCGTTATTAGTCACACTCTTCTCTACCTGTGCATGAATTGGCGGTGCGAAGCGCCGCGAAAATTGGCAAAAACTCTTGGCAAAACAGTCCCAAAACGCATAAATTTTGCATCCCGCGTAATAAGTTTGATACCAGGACAGTTAGGGTCTGGTCACCAAGTCCAGCAGCAGCAGCCCTGCCTCTAAAAAATCGTGTGGTCCTCTGTAAACCGCTGTCAACCATAGGTACAGCTTTTTTCCAACTTCTGTGCAGTGTAGCTGCAGGACTGCGGGGTCGGAGTCGACTTCGGTCGTAGTCGACGGTTTTGGTCGGATACGGAGTTGGAGCCACCAAAATCGTAACAGACTTCAACTCTGAAGTCAGAGTCAACGTCATCCCCGAGGATGGGTCGAATAAGAGCTGGAGATTCTGTTGGCTGTGGTGATTGTAGGGGTCATGGTAAGACCAATGCAGGGGCATACTGAGCATTACGTCCTCCTGGGCTCTCTCAGACCAGGACGAGGTCCTCTCACCCTCAAGCATCAAGCGCTCAAAGGCCATGGTGATACCTTCTGCTGTCGGATGGCCTCGAACGGGAAGAGGGCCGTTTGAGAGTGAGCTGAAGGTCTTGACTATTACGAATATCCTATGTAAAATGTGTGGTCTCTGCAAGCTGTTGTCCTACTGCACTCTGAGACTTTGGGACAGATCTTCAGCCCTTGTTGGATATGGTCGCCCCTACAACTGGAGCTTTGGCTCCCTATCGAGGACCTGGGACGGACAGTCCAGAGCTTCACCTCGTAGGCAATGTTATCTTTTAATGTGCCAAGAAACGTTCAAAGAGACAAAAGCATCACATCGCATGTTTTTTTTTTTCACTCCGATGCGGGCCGAGGGATGCCGTGGTCGGAGATGGAGTGGGGACTCCGAGCGTTTTTTTTTTAAGCCGGAGTCGGAGTTACCAAAATCATCTACTCCGCAGCCCTGTAAGCAAGGGTCTAATGTCAGCAATTCGCAGATTCAATTTGTATACGAGTAGGTATCCGCAATTTCATCCCAAAACGACAATACACCAATGTCGTAGGTCACTTTTTAAATCATTCATGGGGATATTTTTGCGGGGACGTCCCCCCGGGTTTCTCGACTGGGGGGACGCGTCCCCCCGTCCCCCCCGGTTTCGACGCCCATGGCACTTCATCATGGCAAAAAGCACCATCTCACATATTATAAATCTAATAATTTGATGCTTCTTTTGTAGTCTTGTATGCTATTTATTTATATCCCACTGTAATATGGTGGCTCATTTTTTGCCTTTATTCCAACAAAATGAATAATGAAAAGCGCCAGTAGCTTGTCATATGCACTAACGTTGGTAAGGTTATTACTTTCACCATAGGTCCTTCGTTTGAAGACGCTTTCTTGACCCTTTGCAGAAGAACGGATCATTAGCATATGTAGCGTCGGGATCAGATTCATTTTTAAGAAGTTTCTGCTTCGATGATTCAAACTTAGATAATGAGTTTTACTCGCAGTCTGTATATTTACGTGCAGCGTGTTTAAGTCTTTCGAACAAATAGTTCCATTGGAATGCATATTTAACCAACGTTGGGTACAAAACAATGAAACTATTTCCCCAACAGTTCACACATCATTACCTTGATGAAATCATATATTTACTAAACTACTATCCTGGTCGTTATGCTAATTCCCTCAGCAGGATGACATAAAATAGCCTAAGCAGCACAAATCAAGTAAGGATATTTCATATTTAATGGAACAGCCTCATGTTCAAAATTCTAAAAATTGCCCAAAGTTACAAAGAAAACTTGAATATATTTTGGGAGCGTTCCTTTATCGGTTCAAGTGATAAACATGAACTGATTATATTTCATCATAATCCAATACCAAACCGAATAACCGATCGCGCCCACCCACCCAACCGGTTATCTTCAGGTACCGTTTTGTTTGCCGCGTATCCAATCTGATAGCTCTCCCAAACGGTGGTCTGGACTGCGGTCTGTGAAGTGACGGTCCGCGAGCCGTGATCCGCCGTCAATGCCAGACGCTGCACGGTCACCACATGGCCCCGCGTCATGCGGGACTCGGTGGATGCCGCGCGTCCACAGAGCGTCCACAGAGCGTCCACAGAGCGTCCACACCGCGTCCACAACGCGTCCACGAAGTCCACCACATCTGCTAGCCGGCAACGAGCCGAGGACTATCGAGTGCGTGTGGAGTCGGCATGTTTAGCAGCATTGGAGAGGCGCAGATGGCTGATAAACTTTCGAAAAAGTGTTGGATAATAATAATAACCAGCAAGGCATTCGGTGAGTATGGCAGTTGCTGAGCCACCATCGGAGTTTCGGATAAAGCTAGCGCAAAAGGATAAAGTCGGGATTCCAAGCGAGGCGCATTAATGACCGTTTCACCACAAACACCATAAATACAGGCGAGCAAAGTGTGCTAGCCTGCAGTTAGCAGAGAAGCCGCTCTTGATTACCTATCTGATATTTATTGAAATGACAGATTTACGCATTTCATAAAATAAACCATGATCATACCAATTTCGTATGTGATTATGTACTTGTGATGATAAACAGCGTATAAGTGAACTAAGCCGTTGATGCGCAATTACAAGATTTGCCAGAAGTGCATGAGAACCAAGTCTGATAACATGCATACTGCATAGATAAAGCATCTAGAAAAACAAAGTGCTGTAGTAGTTCTCGACTTCCAGAGTACCGGAAACGATATTAATCTTGAACAGTGATGTAGGTAAATGCTAGGCCATATTTTCTATTTTTGTCACCGGCTTCTGCAAACAGTTGCCCCGCTTCGTTCTCAGCATGCTTGGTAAAAATTGCTTATGGAGCCTACTAGCTTGCATAATGCATAATATTTCATCTGTAGGCCTTTAATCTTCAGGCCATTGAATATAAGGCATAAAGATACCTACCCCTACAAATTTTGATACTTTGGAGTGCTATGAATTGATGAAAATTTGAGATTGAGATATTCTTGAATGAGGTAATAAAAACCAGCTATATGTTGGCGCAGAAAATGACATTGTAATTTTGCATCACCCGCGCCCCGCGGGGGGCAGAATCTGCCCCCTCCCGTTTTTCGCCAATAACTTCCAAACGCGTTACGCCAACGACGTCAAACTTTCAGTACCTTATCATACATCCATTTAAGACGTTTCCTGAAAATTTGAGCGAGATCCATGGGAATTTTTTTTTGAGAAAATGACGTTTTAGCAACGTCATGTCCGCCATTTTCGCCTCAAAAAAGGCAAAATTTCAAACGCCGCTAACATCTTCATTTTTAAAGGAATCAAGACGTAACGAAAAGCTCATACGTGATTCTACTTTGTCTATCAAATGGCTATCTCGGTTGTTTGAAAATTTTGAATTTTGGCCCATTTTTTTCTAAAAAATAACTGACTTTTTTGGGAAAATATTTATAAAATCCAAAGTATATCGAAAAAAAACGGAATATATGTCGGAGAAGTGGTCTATGTGCACCTACAAACCAATTGTTTGAAGAATCAGATCAAAAATGTGGGAGTTATTCAAAATTTAATGACGTCACGACAAAATTTTTGAAAAATGAATTTTTTGGAAGTTGTAGAACTCGTACGGAAACAAAAAAATAGGACCATTCGATTCGCCGTGAAAAACTGCATCAGATAGACACCTTTTAGGCCTTAACAACCAACTTCAAACTTTGACCTCACTTGACCTGACCTTGACCTGACCTCGACCTGAAATTTATCCAGATGTGGTCCATATCACTTATTGAGTGTGCCTATTGATTTCTATGAACAAAATGGCCCATAAAACATGTGTCGCACATGCCCTTTTCTATATTTCGTTTTTGGTGACCTGACCTGACCTTGACCTTGACCTTTGCATGACATTGTATGCAATGAATATTGTCTTGGTAGCCTAAGAACACGTTTTGGGCAATCAATCTCAGTCCATTCTACGGCAACTACGGTGCAAGGCCGAAACTGAAGAAACTTGCATTTTGTACCCTTGACCTGACTTTGACCTGACCTCTGACCTACTTAAGCAAAATAAATTGGGCTCTTAAGATCCACCTTGTTGAGAGCTTTCGATTGCCGTTTTTCCCGTCTTTCTACGACCACCGGTTCGGAATTTAGACAGGGGGGGGGCAGAATCTGTCCCCCCCCCAGCAGGGTGCGTATGGCTGAATAACCCAGCGGGGCCGGGGTTCACTTCTACGTCTCTATAATTAGCCACAGCTCTCACCTGTCTTTGACTCCCACAGATCTTCAAGATGGCGACGCCCACGGCGGCGGCCGGCTCGGCGGAGCACCTGGGTATCAACGTGGAGGAGCTGATCACACGGTTCTCGGCGCTCGACTACGCCGTGTTCGGCATGCTGCTGGCGCTGTCACTGGCCATTGGCGTCTACTTCGGCCTGTGCAAACGCCATGAGATGACGGACGCCGCCGGCTACCTGCTCGGAGGACGGAACATGGGCGTGCTGCCAGCCGCCATGTCACTCATAGCCAGGTATGTACATGTTACAGTTAGTATGCGAAATCCGTTAGTTTGCAACGCAACTAGTTTCGTTGCAAACTACCTGACCGGCCAGGTAGTTTGCAACGAAACTAGTTCCGTTGCAAACTAACTGACCGTCCAGTTAGTTTGCAAACTAACTAGTTAGGATGCAAACTACCTAGTTACTTTGCAACGGAACTAGGTGTGTTGCAACGGAACTAGTTGTAATGCGAAATCGACGAGGCAGTGGCTCTATTTGTCGGTTATATTCATCTTTTATGTAACTTTTAACAACTGTTGTTAAAAAAGCTGTGTTTTTCTAACGGGTCACACATAGACATACGAGTAGGTCGGGCATGGTCACATTTATGGATGAAACAGTGAATAACCAGATTCGACTACATAATGTGACCATCACTGGCGGATCCAGAGCAGGGGCAGTTCCGGGGGGCATTTTGCGATTTTGATTTTTTTTTTGCGGCATACACTAACAACAGTCACCACCGCCGCCGCACAGAACAGAACTGAACTGCATTGTCCCATTGTCCCGTGTTCCGGGGTAAGCGTGCGATCAAGAATCTGTCTCACCGGCCGACTCCTTCTCGACTCGCCTAGCCAGGTGACCTAGCGGTGCCGGGTCATTCGGTAACAGCGCAATGATCAAAGGGCATGTCGCGTCACAGACTGATCGGTTGTGGAGGTAGGAGCTCGTCAGCGGCCTGGTTCCTGAATATTCCGAAATCGGCAGCAGAACCTTTACTTTCCGCTTATGTCTACGCATTTATGGTGATCACTGCAGCGGTTCCAGAAAGATGGTCTTAACCCGCGCATAACTGGGATATTTTCCATAACGCGAGTGACTGAGGGGGTGGCTCTCCATAGACCCCCTCTCCTATCTCCGAAACTACTGGGCCGATCGTCAAAATTCAAACAATGTCTAATAGCCCTGGAAAAACTGTCGGGTGAAACCTATTTTCATTGACTTCGAGGTCACCGATGACGTCACAGGTTGGGTCAAAGTAAAAATTATCGGCATTTTTTGCTTGTTCACAAGTTAGGCTCTGGCCGCCGACTGACAAGTCCGATCAGGCTGATTTTTGGTTTACGCACTCCTAGATATATGCCTTAGATACCCTGAGGGTACCGAACTTTTACTTCGATTTTTTCAGGTCAAGGCCAGGTCATCCTAGGTCACGAAAATTGTATATCATGTATCGGTCACGTGACGCATGTTTTATGGTCCATTTTACATGTAGATTTCGAAAATAATGTCGTATGTGTCATTTGAGGTCATTTCAGAGGAATGTACCGGAAGTCAGGTCAATTTCAGGTCAGAAAATGTCAAATTATGAAAATAAAATTGTTCAACAAAAAAGGTGCCTATCAGATGCAGTTTGAGCTCAGGAACACGATGGTGCCATTTATGTTACTGTACGATGAAAAAAACGTACTGAAAAATGGCTTTGAAAAATATATAATTTTAAACTTTTGACAATATGTAATGCAAATAACTTGGCTGTTTTTGAAGATATTGAATCTAGCTTTAAAACTAAGCTCTTGAGAGCGTTTGCCGTAATTCAATATGTTGCATCAAAATCGGCCGTCACTCTGACGTCATTTCCGGCCAAACTATGGTAGCTAGAAAGTTGAATTTTTTAACACAAGGTGTCAAATTGATGCCGCTGAGGGTACTGCAAGTTTCGTGTTGATCCGTAAAACGGCTTAGAAGATATTGCCGAAAAACGGGAAGGGGCTCGGCTCTGTAGAGCCCCCCCCCCCCTCCCCCCAGTCATGTGCGGGTTAAACGTTGCGGGAGACATAATCCCAAAAAAGTCTCCTAATTCCAAAAACCTTTCGGATTTTGATTCCAATCCTTACACACGGCTGTGCAGTCTAAAACAAGTATTTGATTATAAAAGTTGTAAAGTTTTCGTTTCATTCTCATAATAAGCAAACATTTGTCGCTTTCGGACGCTGCGTGGATGGCGGAGCGATTTCGGGCGCCCTCCCCCCCCCCTCTGGATCCGCCATTGATCGTAACGTTATGTAGTCGAATCCGGTTAATTCACTGTTTCTATCCTAAATGTGACCACCCGTCTTATGTCTAGTGTCACCCGTTAGAAAAACACAGCTTTGTTTTAAAGCCCGTTGTTAAAATTTACATTAAAGTTGAGTATAACCGACAAATAGAGCCACTGCCTCGTCGACTTCGCATTACAACTAGTTCCGTTGCAACACACCTAGTTCCGTTGCAAAGTAACTAGGTAGTTTGCAACGTACCTAGGTAGTTTGCATCCTAACTAGTTAGTTTGCAAACTAACTGGACGGTCAGTTAGTTTGCAACGGAACTAGTTTCGTTGCAAACTACCTGGCCGGTCAGGTAGTTTGCAACGAAACTAGTTGCGTTGCAAACTAACGGATTTCGCATACTAACTGTAACATACATACATACCAGTACGGGGCAGAGACTTGGTGGTTCGTGATGGGGTAAAGTAACTTTTGAATGACTTTAACAATGTGCAAAATGATGTCTTGACGTTGTTACACTCTTACTGGCATTTCCTTTGGCGTAGTGAAAAATGCGCGTCAAGCGTAAAACCAAGAAACGCATTTGCGTGTCAGACGCAACTGCTATCTGCCAGACGACGTGATGAGCATGCGCGACATAACTTTGCTATCACCATTGTTTTAAACAAACCACCGTTTACCTCTCTGGCCTTACTGTAAAATTACGACACACAGTTTCCGTGGACGGTCGGTCTCTCAATTGCGTCATTAACCTTGCAATAGTTCAAACAAGTAGCCATCTGGAGCCTGGCTACATCTTTCATTTTCATGCGCATTTATCGTTATACAAAAACTCGCATGCGGTCTTAAATAAACTCTGAAGATCCGTTTAGAATCCTGCCCGGACCAAAAGTCCTTGAGGTGCTTGCAGTGGAGGTTCAGTTGGGGGTGTCTGGCGCCGTTTAACGCTGCACTAGACAGGGCACCAGGCAAACTATTTACCCTACATTTACATTGGCGCAAACCCTGTTGACCTGCGTCTGAAATCCCCAGCGTATGTTCCGTGTACGGTGGAGAGCGGCCAATCCCACACAGAGCTGCTGTCTCTGTGATTGTTATTGTGTGTGCTACTGCAGCCCGCTGAGGCTCGGTTTCGTGAAAGAGGTATTTATTTGCTGACATCGCAGAGAATTCTCGCACAGCAGTGCTGCAGGGCAGTTTTAAGTTAGCAGGGGCATGCCTTCTCTGACGCATACCGTCTGCTTGGTCGAGATCATTTTTACAGAGCTTTGCACTTCAGCAATGCAAGCCAAATCAACAATGCAATAAATGTGGAATAAAACCGGCTCCAGAAAGCGCATGTTTACTTTTTATCCAGCCTGTTTGGAATAGAGTTCAGATTCAGCCTTATCACAAACTGCCAGCCACTGTATTGCTGCGCTTTTTCTGTATAGGTACAACACTCATTCACCAGGCCCTGTGAACCCAAAAATCACTCCGTAGGGAGTTTTGTCTCGTTGAGATTGCTAAAGGTCTGGTAAAACCAATATGAAACAAAGACTTTAAATATTTCGTTCTATACATGAAGTTTCAAAATGACTTTTTTAGAGTCGCCAACCTCTGACAAATAGCTTGTGAACTCCTATCGCAGTCGCTGACGGCACCCGGTACCTGGTCCACAGTTTCATGTCGGCCATCACGCTGCTCGGCACGCCAGCCGAGGTGTACCAGTACGGCACGCAGTACATCGTCATCGGCTTCTCCTACCTCCTGGTGATGCCGGCCGCCGCCTACCTCTACATGCCCGTCTTCTTTGACCTGCAGCTGATCTCGGTGTATGAGGTCAGTATCTAACCCACAGAATGCCATTTATCTATTGCTTTGCATAAGTGATAAATGACACAAACATATTGATGCAGATAATGACAAATCCTATTTACTGTGAGCTCCAAAACAAGTAGAATATGGTACTTTCCATGTCTTTGAGCTGTGGTTGGGAATGCCGTGATATATTCATAGTTATTAATGACACAATATATTGTCTCATCGTTTCAGTATCTCGAGAGACGATTCCATCGAATGGTTAGAACCCTGGGTGCGATTCTCTTCTGCATACAAATGGTAAGCTGTCAATAGCCGTAATTATGCTATGCACTACGTAATTCAGTGCTTGGATCACCACTGGACTTCAAACATTGAATTTTAATGCCGCTATGTCGACTCTGCTGTCGACATGGTTCACCGACATTTTGCGTCTTTCCTCAGAGTATTTACATGGCAATCGTTGTGTACGCTCCATCGCTGGCGCTGGCACAAGGTAATGCAGCCGCGCATTGGGCAATACCCTTTGTGTGTTGACGTCGGGTCCCGTTGGGTTCCCGCCCCCTTCCTCTCAGTATGCCCCGTCATGGTTCATACTGCGTCGGTGCCGCTTTTGCGCCACTCCCTGTTATTTAGCTATGCTTTGTCATGAAAGTGTTGAATGCTCATGTGGGCTCGTAATGCCTACCCACTGTTTCGCAACCAGGTAGTGTATGTTAATTGCTCGTAATTGCAATATGCTGCAGATTCCTATTGCTGGTTCCCACAAGAAACTATTTCTTACGTAGTGACCTGGAATGTTGAAATTTTTAAACAGCATCTGCATTGTGAGTTCATGTAATTATTCCTTGAATAACAAACCAATGCCGTCAGTTTGTTTCCACCTGTGTAGTCACCAATAAAATTGTCACTGGAGTGGTTGACGTGCTCGTATGTACCGTTTTGGTTTCTATCCGCAGTGACGGGAGTGAGCGTCTACCTCTCCGTATGTCTCATCTTCTTCGTCTGCATTTTCTACACGGCGCTGGTGAGCTACGATACCTAATGCTTATTTAATTGTTTTCTCTAGCAATAAAAAGCAATCTTATTGACATAGACGATTGCAACTCTGCACCATCTCAATATCAGAATTGTTACCCGATAGCTAGATTTGAAAGCAAACAGGCCTCATAAACCCAAAGTATGCATTGCTGGGAGGTCATCCTAAAAATCGAGACATGACCTTGCTCCCCTGCCTCTGTCCAGGGCGGGATGAAGGCGGTGCTGTGGACCGATACCATCCAGATGATCATCATGTTCGGCGCCATGCTGGCCATCATCATCAAGGGCTCGCTCGACGTCGGAGGGTTCGGCAGCGTCTGGCACGCGGCCGACGAGGGCGAACGCCTCGAGTTCCTCAAGTAAGCCGAATTCACTGTATTCACAAATCAGGCATATTCAAGAAACGTACTCCCCTGAGTGCCCTGAGCCCTCACTATAACAGTTTTTTTTTCTCAATGATGTACCCTCGTAGAAATTACAAATACATGGATATTATTTTCTATTGGGTATTATAAATTATAAATAAATGAATATTATTTTCTATTAGGTAATATCTAAAATACCGTAGATTACATCAAGCAGTAACTCACATTAAAATTGATGAATAGACGATTATAATAGTATAATCATCAAGCAATGCGTTATTTCCGAACGGGACGGGACGGGTAACGTCCAAAAAACATGATCATATGGTCTCACCATCATATGATGAAGGCTCAAGGCTCGTCCACAACTAGCGATCGCAGTGACCTATCCAACACTCGTTCAACTGAGGCCTGCACAACGGAAGTCCAAATTTAGCCGGGGCGGGGTGCGTTAACCAGCTGAATGAGGGCCGGTTACTTTTCAACGAGCTTCCAGTGACACTCTCGTCAACGCAAACGCATACGTGACTCACTTTGTGGCAACAGAGCGGGACGGGATAGCAGGGTTGATCTCGGCAATGTTACCGTTTGATGTAAATCATGCATGTAGTGTGCAAACTGCAAAGGAATCATGGTCGGTAGAGGTGAGATTTTTTTTTTTTTTTATAAATTTAGTCCGAACCTTTTGATAGGAAGGATTCACAAGGACAGAGCCACCGCTAAGCGAAGTCCTTAGAGATGTCCTTACAGAAAAAAAGAGAACGTACGAAAGCGGAACAATAAATATAGACGCAATGTATTCAACTTCATTTCACTTCATATTTTTGTGAATTTGATGTGCTTTGGTAATTAGCAGCCCGGTAATATCGCTGTCATTTTAGGCAAACCATTCAAAATCTCATTATCAAATTGCCTTCGTTACTAAACCACTGCCATTGGTTTGTGTTTGCAGCTTTGACCCGAGCCCGGGGGTGCGTCACACTGTGTGGACGCTGGTCGTGGGAGGTTACTTCACCTGGGTCACCATCTACGGTGTGAACCAGGCTCAGGTGCAGCGCTACCTCTGCGTGCCCACCAAACGAAAGGCAGCGCAGTGAGTTGGAGAGGAGTCGGGAGGGACGCAGGGTCCCTTCGGCCTTAGACCCCGGCCACTTTTTATTTCGTCCCAGTTAGCTTTGATTTTATTGTGTTTCAGTAATAATCGTTCTAAGCCTGGTTAAACGCCTGCCAATGCTGCTCTCCATGTAAGCCCCTCGGTGATGACTGATGGATTGAGGTTATTGAGATGAAAGGGAGGGCAGCGTATTGAATGAACACAAACCTCTACTTTAAAAACAGCTATCCTGCTTCAAAGTATCCCAAACAGCTGATATGATAATGTATACAGAGCCGACAGATGTAAACACTGCGACTCTCTGAGACACCGTCTGTCATCCACCCTGTCTGCCTGACCTGACCTCGCACTGTGCGCTCGCAGCGCCATCTGGATCAACCTGCTCGGCCTGCTGTTCCTGCTGGTCGTCTGCAGTTACGCCGGGCTGGTGATTTACGCCAAGTATCGCACGTGTGACCCTCTCACCTCTGGCTCCGTGTCAACCTCCGACCAGCTGTTTCCGCTGTTTGTGATGGACACAATGGGAGAGATTCCCGGCGTGCCGGGACTGTTTGTGGCCGGAATATTCAGCGGCGCGCTCAGGTGAGGAGGTGAGGGAAGGTCAAAGGTGGCTGCCGCCTAGATGGCGCTGATGGTGGCGAGGGTGGGAACGTGTCGCTGTATGCAGTGCCGACTTGGCGACGCTGCTTTTCACGAGATGGAGTTAAACCCGTCCAGTTAAAATGATAATTAACATAACGTGAAATCATGAGCTACGAAAGGAAATTTGCACTCTGCTACCATTTATCTCCAACTTGTCTACCAATATACCTACGAAGACCGTGTAATCTGCCCGAGACCCGAGCACTCTGGCCAAATCACTAAGTAGTTCCTTCCTCACATTGTCAGCACTGTGAGCTCGGGCATCAACTCTCTTGCGGCCATCACGCTGGAGGACTTCATCATCCCCAACAGGAAGGAGCCCCTCTCGCACGAGCGGCAGGCACTCATCACGCAGGTTCTGGCCGTCGTCTTCGGTACGTTTGTGAATCGAGTTAGAATAGTGAGTTATGCCTAGTTCAGAATCACTTATTGTAATCGTGACTGCGAGGTGGCTGTGATACTTGGCGAGCTGTTTGGATAAAGATGGACGGTTTAATAAGTTGATTTTAAACTCTGTTCATCTGCCGAACAACTTGGCTTGCTTCTGACGAGGGCGGTGGTTTACCAAACGTTACATTCGTCATAAACATAAAACTGGCCGAAGCAAAATGTTCAGAGGTCATCGAATATTGCGCTTACTAAAGTGAAAATGTTCGTTTTTGTCGACAGGAATTCTGGGATTCGTCCTGGTCTTCGTAGCTGAACAGCTTGGAGACATTCTACAGGTAAGCCATGTTCAAATTATATATAGGTATTTGTTTCCCTACATATATACATAGGTACCAAATCATTCATGTTTTTAATATCTCGTTGACTTTCGACGATGGCATGTAATAAATGTGAGACAAATGGACTCTCATACTTCAGAGTTGGTTAGAAGCCTGAAATGCGTGTCAACATTGCCCTTAACAGCGTCCGTCACTCGCCCCAGTCTCCAGCGATCTAACGTTAACCTCAAGCCATGCGGCACAGTATACCTTCAGGCGTCTATTACTAGCGCCATCTATGAACGGGGAAATAAGTAGCCACATCATGACCCGGCGTTGGTCCGATTGTTTCATTACAGGCAGCGCTCAGTCTATACGGAATGGTGGGAGGTCCTCTTCTCGGACTTTTCACCCTTGGGATGTTTTTCCCCTGGGCTAATTATAAGGTGAGACTCATAGTAATTAAAACATATGCATCATATGCGCCTCATGTTTTATTATCGTGAACGTCAAGCGCTGACGTAAAAAGTGCTTACGTACTACGTAGAATGTGCTGTATTAATCCTCGTCGGTACGTATCAGACTACATAAATGCCGTCATAATTGTCACATGCTTGGGTATCACAGCATGAAACTGTCTCCCTAATGATAAACGGCCATTGATCACGGAAGCAATCATGTTTTTGTCAAGCTACACTGCAGGATTGCATATTTTCCCAAATTCTATGGTCTTTTCTGTCTGAAACTAATGAAGCTGATAAATTAATTAACCTTCTAACTTGCATACATGATATCTCACACTCTTATACACATATTTACAAGCACCAACATTTTCAGAAATGTTCTGACAACTATAAATTAACTATCTTTATTTCCGCTCTCACTCTGTGTCTCCCCCAGGGCGCCATGTCGGGAGTCTTCTCCGGGCTGTTCGTCATCTTCTGGATCGGAGTCGGCTTCCAGGTGGAGAAGGCGTTCGGCAGGATCCACATCCCCAAGCTGCCCACCTCCATCGACGGCTGTCCGCGGTATAACAGCACTGAGGAGGACGTGCTAGACCTGGGGACCACGCCGGTGACGGGCCTGACGACCACAGAGGAGCCGGAGCTGTGAGTGGAGACTCGACTGGGCGCTGTGGTCGGCTCAGCTGGGTTATCATGAGGGACTTGAGGAACTTCAACCTTTACATTCTCATTTACATGTATACCATCCTTCAGCGGTTATCATGACGCTTGTTGTCGGGCTGGACGCTTTGTAAAAAGAAGCTTAAAATTGTTATTAGCATCGTCAATAAATTTAAGTGAAATCTGTGCTGTGATTGGTTCTTGATTGCCCCATCGTTAATTTTATCAATGCCCTTGCTTCGCGCAGGGAGCACGCAGCCGGCCCGTACTACATGTCGTACATGTGGTACTCGACGGTAGCCTCTACCGTGGTGGTGGTGGTGGGCATGCTGGTTAGCCTCGCCACGGGAGCGCAGGACCCTCGTCGGCTCGACCCTCGCCTCATCATACCGCTGGGTGACAAGTTCAAGTTCCTGCCGCAGCGCTGGAGGAATTTCCTCAACTTCGATGTCGGCATCAACTACGTAAGTGATTCAATGTGCTTGATAGTGAGTATGCGGTGATGGTTATGTTACGGTGGTTGTGATTTCATTCGTAACTATTACCACGCATTACTGTCAAATAATGATGTTTCATGTCATGATGGTGGTGGTCTACGTCACAGTGGTGGTGGTGGTGGTGGTGGTGGTGGTGGTGGTGGTGGTGTAGGTCACTAATGTGGTGATTTATGCTCTGCTATACAGGCGATTGTTCAAGTCATCATGGTGGTGGTTATGTCGTACTGGTGGTGGTTAATGTCCAATGAATGCTTATAACTACTTCTTGGTCAATCGTCTTCCACAAGTGAAGTCGATCACATCATGATCACACCCCCTGGTTCGTCACCGTACGATTACTCCCCGTTTCACTGTCTGTGTTCGGTGGGCGGCAGGAGTCGCCAAAGGCCGAGGACCTGGACTCTGCGTTCGCCCACCTGCCCACCACTCCGTCCACCTTCCCATTGGTGGAGGTAGTCAAACGGCCTGCGGTCAGCGTGGATCTGAACGGAGACACAGACAACGGCTGTAAATACACGGCACTGCTTGGAGAGCATGGGATCTGAGAGATACCTAACTAACGCATGGAGTGTGTGAGGTGCCTGCACGAAAGCATGCAAGTGCTTTACATAAGCCGTTTTCACGACGGCCATCTGGTACACATTTGGTGCACATCTGGTGCAGATCAGGTGCAGATTTGGTCACATCAGGTTCAGTGTGTCTCTTAGTAGCTATCAGCTAGGGTTGCACTAATTGCTTATATGCCTGCTTTGTCATATTAACAGAGAGCATCATCGATAAAAACACTGAAATAAATTCATAGAATAAAGATATTTGCTGTAAAAGAGATTAGGTGCAGATTTGGTCAAATCAGGTGCACTCGCCGGATAGCCCGTCGTGAAAACGGCTATAGTTTACAAAAAGCATAGAAAGATATGGGTCATGGGGAACGTATAGTGGTGTATGGTAAGTTAACTCTGGATGATTTCCCGGTTGTTGGGCTCTTAGTGAAAACCATGGCTTCTTTCTCTGGACTATCAACAGAGACAGTTGGGAAAAAAGATGAAACATCGCTTGCATTGCTATCAGCAGCTTTTTGCTTAGACAACGCTATATATGTAAATATCAGTACCTTTCAGCTATGGCAAACTAACGATGGAGGCCCGAGGCGGCATGGCGGCGCCCTGACGGTATGGCTTATTTGAGTTGCTTGAAACGATCGAACTTTTTGTTGTCCTGAGCTTCTCTCATTTTTTTCATAAACTTTAGTTACCATTTCAATGTCTATATTTCATTGATTAAGTTAATGTCAGCATGTTGTTGGTTTATTAAAATCGCACGTTTAATCCAATGTTGAATTACACTTATTTACAGTCATAATATTTCTTATCCGTCGTAAGCAATAGATACGATCAAAAAAGATCCTGTCACCGTCTTGTGTAGGCCAAAAATGGCACAATACTCCTATTGACATTTATTCGGTGTATTTCTCAGGGCAAGAGTGATAAAACTATTGAGCTGGAGACCAACGGTACAGCAGACGTGGGCCTCGATAATCCAGCAGTGGAAGTCGACTGAAACAGAACTGTTCGTGATGTGAGAATGGCAATTGTAGTTCAATAGTTTGATACACAAGACAAGAAGGTGAAAAACTGATGTACTGCATGATAATGCACGGTGCATCATCTGCACGCTGCAGAGAAAGTTGTGTATCACATAGACAATGATGTACCGCTTATGCAGCGTGTCGTTTCGTAGAATACCTGGCTTGGTGATGTTAACTTGTCGGGATTGCGTTTTGTTTTTGTCAAGCAGTGAATTTGGAAGTGTTCTGCGCAAAAGGAAATGCCAATTATGGCTTTGATTGACGTCTGTGTCGTGAAATGCTCACTTTATCAACTAAGCTGTTTGCGTATTATGCAATCAACTATCTTTTGATGAATTGGATGTGAGTGTGAATTGAAAAGGCATCCAACCCTTGTTATAGCTAAAGCTTGATAGATGATGACTTGTTGATAATTGATAGATATTTACTGCGATAGCTTCAGGAACTGTGAGCTTCGGAATTGTAAGTTTCGGTATCAGAATCTCGTGTGCTACAGCCATTTGTATGGTTTTATGGAGTGATGCGGTACAAATAAATTGTACATCGTACATACAGCCAA